GGGGAGCGTCTTTTCCTGGGACTTTAGGACAAATGGTGCCAATTTGACGTGAACGCTACGCGTATTATGCTTGATGCAATTTATTAAATTGTTTTTTACTGACAGGCTGGACGTGATGCAAGCCTGCTGGCACAGTGACCCGGAGTGTCGGCCCTCCTTCGGCACCATTATTAGCATGCTGGAGCCCTACGTGAGCTCAGTGTTCCGCACCAACTCCTTCTACTTCAACCAAAACCCCGATACACGCCGACTGGAGGTTTCGCAGGTCGATCTTGGAGGAGAGGAAGAAGCGGTGGTAAAGGGTCAGGAAAGACTCCTCAAGCCCTCTGTCAATCCCACTGTAAAAGGAACTTTAGAGGAGGAGGAGGATGGAGATCAAGACAGCGTGGAACTCCCACTCTCACGTTGAGGTTTATTTGCTTTCTGTCTCGTGTACACATTCCTTGTGCATAAGTATTCACCCTAATCCATTGGTGTGATATCCTACAAACAGATCTTGCCCTTTGAATTGCGGGTTGTTTTGCTTTTATTATTGATTGTGAGGGACTGGTACTACCTACCTTCATCGACGGGGTGCATTTTCATGCCTTTATGCCACTTTACCGTCTGCACGGGTCGGTATATGCGGGTTCCGCAGTTGTCGGCAATCACATTTGGATGTTAAGCTACCGCCCACACGCTGACGTGTAACTCCTATCATTGGTCAGCACTTTGCTCCTCAATGAAATGTGAGCTTCTCCACTTTGTTCGGTGCTTACAGTGTTAGCCTTTTCTTCCAGTGCTGCTACATTTTCGGTCCGTCTTTTTCGCATTCACCGACAGTGTTCTTTTTTGAATGAAAGTTACCATGCAAGGCGATGCACTTACTTCAAGATAGAACTCATTTTTGTGGCCTATAGTGGCAGATTGCGCGGAACTATCCTCTTGAGTTTAACTGCTTCGTTGTCTGATGTTAACTGTTTCCGTCGAGTGTTTGGTATTGACCCTTCCCAATTACTTTGTTGGAACAAAGTTACCTCTTAATTTAGTCTAAGGGTACTATTTCCAGGGCTTTTGCTTGAGGTTTCGCCTCTGTTTATCCACTCATAATTCCAGGACGCAATTGCCTCGATCGAAATTCCATTGCGCGGTACTCGTTTTAGAACAAGTAGCCTGAGTTGGAAAAAAAATCAAAATAACGTCTAGAGATTGTTAACCGATAACAGACTGGAGGGCGAGGGACTTACCCAGAAGAGGATGGAACACGTCGCCAATCGGTGAGATGTTGTTAGTGGTGCGCTGTGCTGCTCTGCACATACAGTGATTGAGGATTCCCGGGTGGTGGACTGCTGAAACACTAGAGCCCTAGAAGACACAATCTTCAGCAACGAGAGAGCTTCGTAGATTTGTTTAGGATTCCTCTGAAAGCACTAAACGGCCAAATCATGAGGCTACGCTTCCAGTTCAGGCTTGTAACGGAGGATTTATTGGGCGAGTAACAGATGCTCGGGTGCCTACAAGCTAGTTCCATAAAGTAGCCAAATGTCGATTGAGTACTTTTTCAGGCTTAATGCCAATTTCGCACCTTGCAATACCACGATTTCGGTCATGCTTGTGCTAGAGATGCGGTTCCATCATTTCCTTAAAGCGTCGAAGAATTGGCTTCCGTTTTTGCTTTCTGACATACCACCAAAAGTGGTTCTATCGTACGTGCTGCACCAACGTGAGTGCAAAATGATCGTGTCGCCATGTGAAATAAATTCTAGCTCAAGCGGTCAACCACTTGTTAGATTGGTACGATGCTGCACACCTAAAAGCACCCCAACTCGCAACACTGCTTACCATCCACGCAGCACCACGTGACCCATGAAATGTGACTCCCATCAATTTTGTTAACTTCCATGGGATTTCACGTGTTATCATCGCAAATACTGGAAGGAAGCATGAAAACGCTTTCGCGAAGGGAGCTTTATTAGCCAATGAAAAACATTGTACAATATAGCTGGACGATTAAATAATAGGTGGAGGAACACTCGGTAGAAGTGTAATGCATAGGAAATCACTTTTTTAGAGCTGCAAATATAGCGATACGCCAATTACTGCCTGATTAATCTGGCATTTGCGGAGAATGGCGGTACAGAAGAGGCGGTTCAATGTAACAGGATAGCAGCAACACGATTTAGCACAGGGTAGGAGCTTTATTCATCAATGAAAGACACCGCGCGACAGCAACTAACTTGCTCGTCAGCCACATTTACAAGCTGGGGGTGGAAGGGACAGTTTAAAAAGCACTGGAACAACAAAGGGGAATAAAGTTTGCATGATCAGAGTGAATGTAAGGGGAGAAGAATAAAGGCAGAGGGACTATCGACCCTTGAGGAATTGCTTTCGCAGTTTCTGCAGCATCGAGCTAGTCTGCCTATTTGCACTTGAGGGGTCAATGCGACTACCGGAGGACGTGGAAGCAGTAGCGGGGTAAATGGACTGGGGAGGTGTGGGATAACTCATATTGCGTGGCTTAAAGACCATCTTCACCTCGCCGGACCTGGAAGAAGAGGAACCACCACCGTATCGGTGGTAAGAGCGGGACGTCCCGTGTCCATCGATCAGGCGTGTGGCTCGTCGCTGAATCTGAGCCGGAGTGATTGCATCCGTCATAAGAGTCGTCCGACGAGCTGCGTGTGCGAATGTGTAAGGATAAAAACCCACAAAAACTGTCATATTTTGCTGTCACATTAGAAAGTGGGCGAATAAAAAGCGATGAGATTGAGAAACATATTCGCTGAAGTTGCCGAAATGAGGTAATCAATGACAGGTATTGTCCGCCAGTTGCGTGCTAATCGTTTATTCATGCGCCAACAAGTTGAAGTGGACCACGTTTATATCATGCAGCTCACCAAATAAGTTGCGATATTTACCTTTTACAAGCAAGTTTGTTTATATATTGTTGATTTTGACTTATATCTACAGGTGAAATTAATGCGCTAACTTGAGTGAGACGACTTGCAACTGCGTGATCCACTTACCTGTTCTGTTTATTTGACTTTAGTAGTGTTTGCAGCAAAGTAATCCAGTTCCTCAGATCCTTGCTACATCTCATCAAATGAGACTTCAAGTTAAACCCACCAAACGGACTTTAAAATCCATTCTGGTATCATACCCTCAACGTAAATAGTGTAATAGTTGGTTGATAGGCTTTTGCACGCCTTTTATCACAGGACTTAGGGAATAGTCATCGTAAGCGATACTACAAAACCTGTGATAAAAGTCGGCGATTAACTTAAAAGGCTAGTGGTACAGAAACGAAAGCATGATACGTCAATTTCTAAAAATGACACGCAAAAGGTGTGTGGAAGATCCAGATTCTAAAGTTCTAGGAAAAGACGCTCCC